CTGTGAGAGCATGAGAATCACCTTCTTCTTTCTGACACTTATACTGAGAGAGAAGCAAGAGCATAAAGTTACTTCACATTTACTTAAAAGCACTCAGACTTAACAGATAAGATAGACATTGTCATCTAGGGTTGTTACAAGTCTGAAATAGTCTAGATGATTTAATACTAATTCTGTAGTCTGCACAAGAAAAAAAGTTTGCATTAATGACATTTTAGTATAGAATCTGACATTGAAATGCTCAGAATTTCTATAGTCATGCATAAGGATTTTTTTTTTAAATCAATTTTGGACACAGTTGCTTAGCAATTAAGTTGTCTTTCAGACAGAGGTTCCCCATGGTTGCCCGCATCACTAAGTTTCCTTTCAGGCAGCTGTAGTTATTCTACATGAGCTAGTTAAGGATGCAGGAATTGTGATGCCCAGCTTAGCCTTTCTGGAAAGGGAAGGCAAATGAATCTGGACATAAAGACCTTCAAAGGCGTCGTCCACCTCTTGAAAGCACATGCTGAACACTGCCTGCAAGACACAGGTACACCAGCTCCACTTTTTACAGAGGAAGCACAATGGGCATAAAGGTTTTCAAACTACCAACCTTTGTGAGAGAAGGGAGAGCAGCTCAAAGCAGGACTGGAAAAGCTTAGCAGGGGCAAGGTAGCTTCCAATATAACATGCTGGCTTTCGGGATGCCAGTTAGAGATGCCCAACTCTCCCACCTGCTACGTAAAGAACACAGGTGCTCACGAGCACTGGGGAACTTGGACGGCTCGAGGCTGAAGCCCTGTCCCTTTCAGATCTGTCCTTAGCCTATTTGTTTCATCAAGACAAGCATCAAAGGATGGTCACTCAAACGTTAAGTCAGATGAGTTTTCACACTGCTCCTTATCCAAATACCTTACTTCTAGTTTAAACAGCCTATCAGAAAACTATGGAAAGCTTTTAAAGCTGTGTTACACAGCTTTTTTTTTTTTCTGTGCTCTCCCCTCTCCCCCCTGCAACACTTATTCCAGCCCTAAACTGCTGGGGCCCTGGGTTTGTCAGCTTCTCTGGATGTGCAGGAGGGAGGACCCTATGCCCAAGGGTTCAGCCCGTGCAAAGGAAGAGCTCTCACTGCCAGCAGAGGGAGCAGCCAGTTGCAGCACAGGCACATTTCTGTAGGGTGGTGGCAGAAAAGCAGGTATTCACTGATCTCTCCTGCTCTGGGGAATACCCAGGGCTGTTGATTTAAGAGTAGCAGTGCCCATACTGCACTTATAAGCAGCCAGCTGGTTCCTTCCTGGCCACAGTTTCTCCTTGTTCCGTGTCAGGTCCTTATTGCTCCATAGCACCTATGCTTTTGTCCTGGACTCCATTCCTGAACTGAAAAGCTTACACAATACAACACTTCAGTACAAGAATAGCTGTTGCTTTCCCTTTCCTTCCAGATGTGCACGGAACTCAATCCACGGAGCCACCTTTACAAGCTGGTTTTGTGCTGTTATTTAAATAGCAGTTTGCTTTAGTAAACCAGCGAGGGGATCCTTTGCTTTGCAACTTGCCGCCTTTCTTCTAGCCTTAAAAACCTGTGAGCAGCTGCATGTTTAGGGACCAAGGCCTGAGCCAAGCAGGAACACTGCGAAGCTTGCTGGTGGCCTGCTTGCCATTGCCATTAGAGCTTCTCAGCCCTGCCACCAAACTATGTTACTGTCATCACTCTTTTAAACACAGAGAGGTCTGTTTTCAAAACACATTTTCTACATTTTGCAAAGTACTGCTAAAGGAAAAAAGCACAGTTAGTTGCTAGATATATTCAGGACTACATGTCACATGGCTACTAATGGCAGGGCATATCTTGCCTGGTATATCACTATACAAGCAAGTCTTGTGAAATTAACTTCACGACTTCAGTCTCCAACTGAAATTACTTCCCAAAACCTGAAGGATATCGAGGAAACTGTCTTACCATTTTCAGCATGTACTCTGCCATTGCATGGAGATGTCGTGTTGAAGATCCACTCACAATTATAAAATATTCACAGTATCTTAGTTCTGGAGATACCTGGATGACACAAATGTCTTTAGCATTTTCTTGCCTCAGCAGAGATACAACAAAGTCAATGTTGAACCTGGAAAGTGCATCATCTGGAATACAAAACAAAACAAAAACCAACAGTTGCAAATTTTCTCTTTAATTTCCCAATATCAATAACTTAGAAATTACTAAAGTTCAATAACTTAGAAGTTACTAAAGAAGCAAAACAGCACAAACTAAATTATAGTCTCAGTTAGGCCAGTCATTAAGGAGTTTGGTTAGATGCTGATAACAAAACATGAGCTGCAGATTTTTAAAGCCCATTCAAAGTTGAGAACAAAGCAGTCTTTTGGTAAATAATACTCTATCAGTAGATATTGTTTATTTATACAGTACCCATATTATGCTACACAGTTTCTCAGTAGTTAGTATTCAGGATTCCTTTTAGTAAATACTAACAGCAAGAAATAGTTACCTGAGTCAATACTATCATCAGATATTTGATAATCAATATGAATGAGGCTTAAATACTTCAACAGCCACAGGTTTTAAGCATATTAAAAGCCTTTCAGAGCACTGCTTGTCAACAGGTGATATGTGGTGGTGAAAGTGCTCTAAAATCTTAGGTAGATTAAATCAATACAGAAAATAGACCTGATATTGAGTTAGTACAACTACTTCTGCTCACATACTGAAATCAGATTGTTTCCAATTGGGTCTAATGAGTGAACGACTTGTGCATGCACTGAAGGCAGATTTGGATCTGCCTGCGACGCAGGCCTGCCCCTATAAAGTGAACATTAGTGCGAAGCAGAGCCAAGCTCACACTTACCAATGTAAAGGAAAGGCAGACAAAGGAAAAATAGCTACATACAACCATATGCGTGAATGGGGATATGAAATTGGATCAGATGTCTGTAAAATACAGCCTTTGAGCTTAGGGACTTATGCACTCTTTCAACTTTTGCTGTGGTCACACATGCAGAAAATTAGCAGTGGCCACAGCTCCTCCAGACACAGCGGTTACCAAAGTTAAATATTTGCCTGGTAGCCACATGTGAAGCCTCTAGCGCCTGCTCCAGAGGAAGGATTAAGCAGCCCCCGGCTTACTCAGCCACGCTGCACGGCACAGCCAGACCCAGGCGAGGAAGAGCTGCCACAACAACCCATCACAGGGCGACCAAGCCTGTACCAGCCCTCGCACTGCTAAATCCGTCCCCATTCCTCGTACAGGGAAGCTGCTTTGAGCACACTTTGACGAAACACGCCTGCAGCTCAGCCATTTCTCGCTGTAGACAACAGCCAGCGACCTGTCACCTTCATATAGTTTGGGAGGTGATGCGGCGTCAGCAGCAGCACTGCAAGTGGGAGATCCATGGCCTCGCCACATAACACAGCTGCTTTTGCCACTAAGCACCTACAAGGCTCCTTGGGGGCCTGCAGGGGATGGCTTGCGGGTTTTGCGAGTTTTTTATTTATTTTTTGAGGCATTATTATATTTCACGGCACTATTTCACAAGGCCGGGGAGCACATGGCTCTAGCTCAGCTGCCTTGTCTTGATGTCCCGGCCTGCAGTCACTGGGGAAGAAGCCAGCAGAACCGCTTACCGCACACGCGGCAGAACCGCCAGCTTTGGGGCATTTAAGCAGCCACCACCTCCCCAAGGGAGAAACCTCGCTAGCTTCAAGCGCGCCCTTTAAAATTATGAAGCCGCAGGCCTGACTGAGCCGCCTGACGAATGC